GCTCTCAATACAATGGTTGTTCTCTAAACAATGTGAGAACTCAATTAAGCCTAACTCTAAGTTACAATCTCATAACCCCAAATATACTATGTATGAAAATACTAAAAGGTCAATGTGGGTGTGTGTAACAAAGAGATTAAATAAAACAAACTAAACTCAAATAAATACCAGCTTAATAAAATGATAATCAAACAATATAAATGTAAAGCTATATTGAGTTTAGAAAAACTTCTCTATAGATAACAAGAGGGAGAGAGAGAAGAGTTGAAGCTCAAACACAAATGGTGATCTCCTCTAGCTCTAGTGAAAATTGCTTCACAAAACCGAACTTGAAACAAACACTAAAACAAAGTTAAACACTCTTTAAACTTATTTTATATAATTCTCTTAACTAAATGAAACTGAGGATATGCAGGGGTAGTTATAGGAACCCCAAAGCTAAGAGAAAACAAGGCAAAAAGACCAAAAACCCAAAATTGGAACATGCTAAAAAAAACTAGTCGTTACAGCATCAGTCGACTGACGGCTTTCATCAGTCGACTGATGAGCTGACCGTTAGAGACGTTTTCTAGCTCATCAGACGACTGACAAACCTTATCAGTCGACTGATGACCTCATCAATCGACTGGCCAGTAGACCAAAATAAAACAAATTTTTTTTGTTATTCCAGGTGATTTATTCAGTCGACTGAACACATTCATCAGTCGACTAATAACACTGTATCAGCCTGATTGAAATAGAAAATCTAATTTTTAAATTACCTTTTAAAAATAGCAAATAAAATCAAAAAAATATAAAACTTTGGGAAATGATTGTAAACATGATAATTACAAAAACTAGTTTTTAAAAATTACCTCCCAAATGAGAAAACTCTTCATTTTTCAAAATAGTCCAAAACATGTAAATATAAACATACTTGTTTTTACATTTTGACTAAACCATGTTTTGAAACTCTATAAAGTGATTTTATAGACTTAATAAAATATGTATAAATTGATATTGAAGTCTATAAACTAATAAAACAATATTTTATCAAAAACACCTATATTTAGATAAAATCAACAAATACATGTGTGTGACTAATATGAGCTTAAAGTATTAACACACAAGTATAAACACACAAGTATAAACCTATACTACAAACACTATAAACTATATACCCAAGCTAAGGTCTTCAATATAGCTTAACTTGATAAACTTACGGATGAAGCTTGAACTTGGATCTTTAACGTGAATTGCATTGCTTCACTCCATTATTCCACCAACCTCCGTTGGATATGATCATGAATGCTCGATTACATCCATCCTCTAACATATTGTTTGCCTAGAATAAATACAAAACACAAACACTAGATAAATAACATTAGTTGTAAATTATTTGTTAATCATCATCAAAATAATAGGACCCAACAACTGCAAGGGCCCATCATGTACATGTACAAAGGATTGGTGACACGCGCAATGCTTAAAGATGACAATCACTAGCTCAAATATACATAAGAACGAAGTAATGCACTAACAAATTAATACAAATATATGGAATAATGTAGACCATATCCTAATATATTTGTTAAGAAAAAATTAATTTACCTTGATAGCTTTGTACTCCTATCAACCTTAGATTCCTGACATCAACAATCATTAATACAAAAAAGAAGATAAGTCATGAACCAATCAACCATCAACCATATAATATAATAAGAAATAAGAATAGGGAAATAATAATGATAAAAATAATCAGCATAACCACTCTACTTACAATTGAAAATAAAGATCTTCTTTGCTTCATCAAAACTGAAGCAGTAGGTAATTTATACAACCACAAAATAACCTAAAATTTCAGTTAAGAAATGTAAAGCCCTAGAAATTAGTATCGTTTATAATAACGGCCAAAAAATTTAGAGAGATTGGGGGTATAAGTTCGGAAATGATTAGAGATTTTTTTTTTGGGTGGGGGGGGAGGGGAGGTGGAGCGGCAGAGGATGGAACGGTTAAATGAGGGAGCTTCATTGGTTGAGAAACGGAAGAATCGGAGATGAAAAGCCAGGGGGCGGGGGTAGGGTGAAGCAGTAGAGATTAGAATGATTAATCGAGGAAGATGAAAAGGTTATTTCCTCCTTGTTATCTAGTATCCGCAAGAGTGTCACATAGATGGGACATTACAATATATTGTTCATAAAACGGCAGAAAGCTTTATCCTTATGCACCTTCTAACTCTCAAGCTAGATTTTACAATCCAAAATGCATCAATTTTTTTTATAAAAATTGGTTGTTGCCCTTATGTTGAATATCCTTTTATCTTAGAAGGGGGCATCTTTGTTACCAAGTACACCCACAACTATTTATAAACATATAATCTCATCTCCTTAAGTGGCATTAGATGCATAGTACAATGCATTCATAGAATACACAAGTTTATAATCAGTTAAAATGTATATATCTCATTGCATATACCACATATTTGGTGTTGCATGACATTCCTTGGCCAATAATACGTAAATCCTTGTAATCCCTTGTTACTATAAAAATATGTCATAAAATAACAAGCATACGCAGAAGGAGGGGCTCAAAGTTTACACAACTTTATAGGATGATTCCCAGAAAAATTCATGAGAAATCCTTCAATTCACGAGACACATCATCACAAAAAAACAAATTTTCACTCAATTTAACTGAATCAAAAAATAAACTTACAATAGCCAATATCTTAATCCTATGGCCAATTCATTACGGAGAAATTTAGGGAATAAAAGTAATACCTTTTCCGCATCGGCGCCAACGGAGAGAGGGGAAGCCTCATCAGATCCCTAGAAACGAAATTCCAAAATCTCCATCAAGCAATGTCAAGAAACAAAAGCGGGGTAAATGAAAAAGCAAAGAAAGTAACGAACCCGAAAGCCAACGTCTAGGGTTTTAGTCGGCGGTTCTAGGGTTTGGGCCTTGACGACCTCGGGAGCGGCGTAGGTTCTAGAAGGGAGAGGGCGAGATTGAAGGGAGAAGCGGGGCTTGGAGCTGATGAGAGAGAAAGAGAGTGATGAGAAACGGAAGTATTGGAGATGAAGAGGCAAGAGGGGGGAGCGGCGGAGCTGAGAACGTTTAAAAGAGGGAGATGAAGAGGCAGATGAAATAGGATAGGCCAGGTAATAGCTATTTAAGATTTACGTTTTAATTAATTAATTAAACCAGTAATAACAACTAAAAATGTTAATAATTTTAAACATTGAATGAATAGGATAGGAATATAGGATAAAATTATAATTAACTAAGTTGAAAGGGACAAAATGGACATGCAAAAGTTTGACAATTGTTTTCTCTTTTAGAAATAGTATAGATAAACAACCACATAACTCTTAGCAAGTAATTTATAAGTTTAACAACCAACTAATAAGTATAACAACTATCACATAAATTTAACAACGAACTCATACGTTTAACAACTAACTCATAAATTTAACAACTAACTAATACGTTTAACCCCTTTAAAGTTATAGAAAATTGCAAATAAAAAAGTTACAAAAATTACAAATAGTCACTCAAAAAATTATATAAAACTCTAAAAATATTTGAAAATTGCAAATAACTCCAAAAAATTGTAGAAAACCCTACCAGAAAGCTTTGGAAATTGCGAATGTGCCCCTATAAATTGCAGAAACACCTAAAACATTTTAGAAATTGCAAATGACCTCCCAAAAAGTTGTAGAAACCCCTCTAACCGCCAACAAAAAAGTTCCAAAATTGAAAGTGACCCTAAAATTGCAAAAAACCCCTTTCAAGGTCAAATTTTGCCAAGAACCACCTAATTTTCACATATAAAGCCCAAAAATGGAAGAGGGAAGGTTTTTTTTTAATGTGAAGATTAACACAAATGAGTGAGCAAAGGGGGCAGCCGACATGCCATTAAATGAGAGTAGAATGGGGATAAGTAAATGGTTGTGACATGGCAAGGTATATTAGGGGCTAAACACATTTGTTTTTTAATTTTGGTACATAAGCACTTGTCGACTAAGTGTTGGGCCCTAGTCACATTTGCCTTATCATTTTAGGGACTAAAAGCTTTTTTTTTTTTTTTCCTTTTAAAAACTGATATATCCTAACTTTTGAAAACGCAACTTGCAAGGTTACCAATATAAGCCAAACACCTAATCTACCCCAACAATTTTCATACACTTTTCATCTTAAAAATAAAAAACGAGCAAAAGCTAATATGCCTTAAACGATTCTAATAATCAGCCCCTCCAAAAACCGTGCCACTTAACAAGAGAGAAGTGCTAAGAAGAAGGGCAAACTTAGTTAAACCATTGGGTTGGTTTGTTGGAGAGGTTGGGTTTTAAGTAATTAAATTTCATTTGGATTAGATAGTTAAGATGAAGGGTTTGCATTTGACAAATAAAAAAGGATTACATAAGCTAATCCTCCTATTGTTTTAAAGAAATATCAAGTTTTAATCCTCCTATAATTTTTTTATAAAAAAATATCAAGTTTAACCTCATTAAAATGGGAAATTTTATTGGTAAATGTTTTATCAAGATAATTTTTCAAACTGAACTTGCATTCATTTTAATCATAAAAATAGTGTCAATTTTCCATTATTTTAATAAATGATTGTTGGGAAGGGAAATAAAAAGAACTAAAATTACATATCATTAGCAAAGAACTTGTTCCAACATAAATTAACAAAAATTTTGAAGTTTTATCTATAACTTTCACTTTACACGGTATATCCCATCTCACACTATCATCCTATCAAAGAACGAATTTGGTAAACAATTGTCTTTCGATAAGTTTGAGTCAGTTAACAAAGCACAAAGAACAAATTAAGAAAATATCGTTTTCAATTTTTCTACTGTTACTGCTCTTACCCCCAGCCTGAGGAGGTGAACTAAATTTACGTTCGGTTAAAACGAGGGGTTAAACCCAAATGAGGCCGACGAGAGGCTCTCATAAAATCATCAGACATCAAATTTCGGCGGAACATAGCATCACTTTCCATACAACCAACAGAGTAAAACATGTTATAGTGGTTCTTGCATATCTTATTTCCTTCTCAGTAAACAGAGAAAGATGTTGAGAAACACAACTTGCATTTTAAGCAGGAATTCAACGTCAGGGAGCCCCAACGCTGGATGAGGTATAACATAAACAATGAAGCAAAACTTCCAAATAGTCCGCCAGCGAGAGCTAAACAACAGTCACCACTAGTACAAAGTGAAGAGGGAAAATTTTATTGGAAGCGCCAAAGATTACAAGGCGACAAGTAAAGAACTCCAGTGTTTAGTAACCCCAATAGTCATTTCGTATTTCATCGTCGAACTTCTTTTTGAGCTCAGGGTGCTTTGCAAAGTACTCATCTGCTGTCATGGTGCTGATCTTTTTCTGCACAAGCATAAAAAAAATTAATGAGCCCAAGCAAAAAGGAGTTATAGAATAATACCTTTAAAAAAAATCATACTACGCAATTCTAGGATTTTTATCACAATGTTATCACCTTCATTTCTTGAACTTCAGCAATTTCCTTCTCCAATCTTTCTGACTCTTTCAGCGATTGTTGCTCGGCTTCTTTCAGCTCCACCAACTGCACATGCAGAAAAAGGAGGGGGGGGGGGTTTGGGGGGGGGTAGCAAGCTTTCAGGTTGAACGTCTAGCATATCAAAACAGAACCAAAGGATACTAATTTCAACAATTATAGAAGAGGAACAGAAAAGTCTCACCAAAGCATCAAACTTGGGTTTGTACTCAGGAGTCACAGTGTCAACATACTTTGGGATCTTGATGCCTGAAAAATAGATGGTGCTTATTTAGCCCAAAGAGACAGAAAGCTAAAGAAATGGCTGAACATGATTCAGGCAGATGAAGCAGATACAGAATGAGAAATTCAGTAGAACTCAAGGTTTATATCAAATCCATCAAGTTAATAAATTGGGATTAAAGAGTTTTAGAAAACAAGTCCATTCACATGATGAGATGACTAGAATCAAACCAAAACCACGAGAATCAGTGGTACTAAATTACATCATCAATAACACACAAAAATGCTGTTAACAAAAACGTACGAAACCACCAATAGATATTTAATCACCTTATCACTTGACAGGGTACAGTTAGTCTTGATATTCACACCACCAACATAAAAGATTCTAAACAGTAACTAGTCCATTGTGTTACCATTTGCATGAGATATATTGTTGACGATATCAAAGAAAGAAAACTAACACTGCATAGTCTGAATTGACTTGGTTAAATGAGCTAGGAATCTCGTTTAACATTTGACAGTTACACGACAACTACTGCAAGCTCCTCACTACGAAAGAGATACCCAACTATAAAAACATGTCCATAAAATATTATTAAGTACTGAACTGCAAGCCATCTTTACAGTGTATTTGCAGTAGCAAATTTTATATTTTCATCATCTACAAGCTAGCAGGTACACTTGAATCAGTTGGGGTGGTATTTGACCGCACCAAGGCGTATATTTCAAGGTAACATAATGTAAAGAACATAATGATGTCTTTGTCAGCTGCCAGACAAGCCAAGCATATTTTCATCAATACATGCCAGATCATACGCACAAGGAAAGAAAAAAGAATGGGAAAAAAAATCTTTACCTCCTACATTGAAAACCTAAAAAATAAGTGACAAGCATTCAAGTGTCGCAACTCACGAGACTCATAACAACCATGACCAAGATCAAACTGGCTCAACGTGGAAATGATACTTGTGAAGTAAATATTTCTAAGACGGACTCGTACATACATAAAATTCCTTGATGGATTATAGTATACATTATGATTTAGGTAACACACACAGACACAAAACGTAAAAGCTAGAAGACTATTGAAATACATTCTATGCAGGCATAGCTGTGAACTGTTGCAATCCGTAGAAGATACATTAGTGAAAGACCGGCAATGTTCTTGATATTTTGGTGAATCTTTGTTCAAAGTCGTCAACCCAAAAAACATTTAAGTTAGAACTCCGGACAGCTAAACCCAATCCTTCCTGATATTTTATCCTTGATATGAAGGATATAAGAACGGTGAAGATATTTGTTAAAATATTATTAAGATATTTAAATGTTTTATTTCTAATTCAACTCATTTTAATATTGCTTCAGATTACCATGTATATGCTGCATTTACATGCGAGAACATGAGAATATTCAAAGTTGGCTGGGACAGAGTATCTCCATAATGAGTACCTCAAGTTCTTGCTATCTATTGAGACTATATGTTACCAATAATACCTACTAAACTACCTACTACTCCCTGCCCACTACCCAGTATCCACTATAAAAACCTCAGGGCCTAGGCACAAAGTCCACTGCTAAATAGCGTCTATAGAGCCAATTTAGGATCTTCATTTCAGTAACAAACTATTTGATAGGAAAGAGAAATTCCTGAAAATGATCCACTTAACTAGTATCAAGTAAAGAGCCAGGAAAGAAACATTTTTCCTCACATTACTTGGTCTTACAACAAAGAACAAACAATTCAAAACATGCAAATTAATCAAGGAACCATATAATAATGCATATGAACAAGAAACCAAGCCACCAATAGATATGCGTAGCCCTAATATAAACCAGTTATTTTCTTTTCGTTATATATTTTAGTTTACAAACTCTTTCTGCATAAAATCCAAACCATCCAGAATTTTCCCAAATTCTGTGTCCCCTTAAAAATAATTCCAAATGTCGAACCCATGCCAATAATAGCAACCTCAAGGCAACTTCATGCCACTTTAAGACTTCCCTTTGCCTTCTATGACAATTCTAAACAAAAATCAGGCCTCCATGTATAAAGGCTTCCTTTCCATAATGCTTGTGAGCATTTGGGTAAAGGTAAAGTATATTCTCCATCACATTCCCTCTAACAAAAATTCAGTCTCTGTTGTTAAATATCACCCAGTTCCCTCTCCCATAAAATGCATTGTTTCATATATGAGCACATGATATCTCCACATTTACGCTGCTTGGACTTTTTTTCACAAATCTAAGCAATATAACTTGCTATCCTTGTGGTCTTTAATCAAGATAGGAATAAGAAACTAGTAATTGATGTAAGTAAATAGAAGTCCAAATGACAGCACAACCCAAGCATTAAATACAACAATAATTTTTTTCCAAAACTAGTTGTCTGTTTGGGAACCAAGGTGTTTCCTCAGTTTCTATTTTATTTTTGCCAATAATGAAATCAGAAGTGTCTGGTAACTGGTTCGATTCTTTGGGCCTGAAACTTAGAAAGCCCAAAACACATTGGTTTTCCCAAAACACCTAAATTGTGTTTTAAGTTTTTTGATTCCGTTTTTTATTCTCTCCCCAAAACAAGGACTCATTATCCGCATCCGCTCTCCACCCATTGCATCTCACCACCTTTGCACGGTCACCACCGGTGAAGTCACCGAGTGATCTCGATGCTGTCAAGCCACCATTCTTGAGATCTCATGAGATCAAAAGGTACTCTCCTTTTCTTCCTCTACAATCTAATCTCTATCCCTAGCTCTCTCCTCTTCTTATGGTTCTCTTTCTCTCGTCCCTTCCTCTATTTTGCACAATTTTACTGTAAATTAAGCTTTAATTATTTGTTTTTATGATGGTTTTGAGTTTTCCCTATATTTGTGTCAATCTCAATCTTGCCCTAATTTCTATTTTTATGTGATGTTTCCTAACTTGAAAACTTTTGGTAGACAATGATTGGTAAGTTTGATTTTTTCCTCCCCTTTTCTTTAGTTTTCTCTAGTTCATCATTTTTATTTCTATTTTCACGTTTTTTTTAGTTCATCGGTTCATCGGTAAGGGTAGAACTTCCAAGGTACAACGGCATGCAGCAGCAATGGCATGGTGATGGCGAAGGTGGCTGCAACAGTGGCAGTGTTCGCGGTGGCGGTCCTAGGGTTTGGAGCTAGCACTTAGTGATAGGTTGGTAGAATTTGTTTTATAGAAAGATGGGTGGCATTTTGAGAACACATTTGGACTGTTTTGAGAACACTTCCCATTTAAAACAACATCATAGCATGGTGTTCTTAAAGCAAGAAAAACATTTAGCTAAATGGACACTAGAATTTTAACGCATTTTAACAAGACTTCTAACTTTATCAGCAAGGGCGGATCCACCTTAGAGGACGTGGGTGCCACGTGATATGTCACGTGACACCACTTTCCTCCAATGGGTTTCTTATATATTAAGGACCTTATGAGTTGAAGTAATCAAGGTGCAATTCTGTATTTGACAGTTTTACTAATGATGTATTTGATAGTGTTACTAATAATGCAAGTATGTACTTTTCTCAAAATCTAAAAACTCATCAGGGACAATTGTAATTTTTTTAATTATTAATCATGCAGTGAACCACTTACCACTACCAGAAACTTGAGTCCACTGCTTACCATGGGAGGCCTTTGTCATGCCTCCACAAATGAGTATTGTATGTTGGCACATCCTTGTAAGAATCTAATTAAAAGTTAATGTACATAAAGCCCACAACGTTGAAGTGACCTAATTATACTAGCTTCTAATGTTTGGTCTTCTTCATGAACTAAAGGTTTCCAAGAAAATTTCCTCATTGCTCACAATTTGCCATCTTCAATTAAAAGTTTATCTAGGAAATATATAATACCACTGATCTTAACCCAGCTCAACAAGCATAAATTACAAGCAACATTTTTATATTTCCGTCAATAATAACAATATTCTATTTAGGGTAATTCTACTGTCATTTCTTGTTCTAAGAGCTTGAACTTCCGTCAATAATAACAATATTCTATTTAGGGTAATTCTACTGTCATTTCTTGTTCTAAGAGCTTGAACCATAATGATATATATTTGCATCCTCCATTATGTATATTTGCATGCTCCAAAAGAAATTCAAAAAGGGAAAATATGAATCAATTATTTTTACCTTGCAACATGAAAATAATAACACTGGTCTTCTTCATGAACTAAAGGTTTCCAAGAAAATTTCCTCATTACTCACAATTTGCCATCTTCAATTAAAAGTTTATCTAGGAAATATATAATACCACTGATCTTAACCCAGCTCAACAAGCATACATTACAAGCAACATTTTTATAATTCCGTCAATAATAACAATATTCTATTTAGGGTAATTCTACTGTCATTTCTTGTTCTAAGAGCTTGAACTTCCGTCAATAATAACAATATTCTATTTAGGGTAATTCTACTGTCATTTCTTGTTCTAAGAGCTTGAACCATAATGATATATATTTGCATCCTCCATTATGTATATTTGCATGCTTCAAAAGAAATTCAAAAAGGGAAAATATGAATAAATTATTTTTACCTCGCAACATGAAAATAATAATGATATTCTAGGCTACAGATTTACAACAATTGTTAATTTGTTATTGAGATGCATGATGTTTTGTGAACTTAAAGATTAAATTTAGAAAGTTGTGCATTACTGCACATTGACTTTCAACAATTAAATGGATAACATAGAAGATATATTCTTCACTTAAGTCCAAAGATACTAGTTATTTGCCAAAATGGAAAAGGATGTGACTCCTTATGCTTCATACAATAAGCATTTACACAACTCTATCCATGTATCTCTCATAGAAGAAAATATCAAGACCAAGAACGTATAAGATTTTGTATGTAATATTCATGAGCTAATTATAGAGCGACAAAGTCTCTACAAGCATGTTTAACTATCTAAGTATTATAAATAATTTACACTGTATTAGTTGTGTCATATCTCACCTTGATCTTAACACAAGATTTTAAATATCGGATGAGGAAAATATCGGATGGCCAAAATCCCAGATATCAGGGAAAATAATAGGGATAATGTAGTAAATATCGGAGTTCCATATCAAATGAGGTGCACATATCCATATATGTATGTATGTGTGTGTGTGTGTGTGTGTGTGTGTATACATGCTAAAATGTAATATGAACATACTTAACAAAATCTATGCATACAACATTCAAATAATATATGTTTAGGATCACTAGTAGAAACTCAATTAGGGAGAAAAGCCTACTAGAATTCACTAACAAACTTCATAAGACTGGAATTTTGCTAAAGGAAATTAAAGAAATAATGTAGAACTCTATTTCTTTGGAGGAAAGCCATATAAAAGGACATATCAGCCAATATATCGGGCCACATCGGGGACATATCGCCTCACCCAAAATTTGCCAGAAAGCAGTAAAGGATATTCTGACCATGTGGTTTTGAGGCAACCGCTGTAAACAGATACATCGGATGATTTGTTGGATATGTGAGGGACATTTAAAACAATGTCTTAACAACACAAGAAGCATCAATATGAAAACATAAGAGAACATACTATCATAAGCTTCTTTGTACATATCAACCAGACGGGAGCCGATTCCTTTTCTGTAATACTCCCAGTCGATTGGTTGAGGTTCCTAGATAATAAACACAAACATGAATACCATTAGCTTAATTGTAAATAGACAACAAAACTGATTATACCATTCGAGAAACCACCAAGCAATGTCTCACAGAAGCAATGTCTCACAGAAGAAAAGCACCTTCCAAATTCTATGAACTATGTGTAACGCAAGAAAAAAGAGGATAACATGAAAGAACAAAAAAAAAAGAAAAAAAAATGAAAAGATAAAAACAACTGACTAGAAGAGTTACTTCTAAAGGTCTCATTTCAAGCTTCACCCTTTGATACTCCAGAAGTTCGTTGGTTATCACCCTTATTCAATATTCCAATAATTAGTAATTCAAACTAAACAAACCCAACATTTTCATATTTTCTTCAAGTTCCACCATATCAAAAATTAGAAGCGAATAAACTGAAAACAACTAGAAGTCTGGTTAAAACCAAGTCAAACAATAATTCCTTTTTGACACCACCAAACTATTGATATTCCTAACAGATTACACTAGCTGATTGTATGCAGTGATATTATAAACATCTTGGCAAATGGCAACCTGATCTCTTCAATAGCTTCTTCGTATTAAAGTTTCAGAACAAAGTCGACTAATTTTGATCATCATATAGTGGAGAACAACGAAAAGTGTCTCCATTTCCCGATGGATGAATGATTCCTCACCAAATTTCAAATTAACTCCCCAATCCAGAATGAAGCAGAATATTCTTTCATAATACAGCCAAAAATAGACAACAATAATCTGCTCTATCTACCGTTTCTTCAAATTAAAGAACCGCAATTACTCGTCAGAACGAACAATCAGGAAAACTACGCGACATCATCCAAAAAATCACCTCCTGATCGAAAGCCTAACCCTAGATCCGATCGATTACCTGACTGAACTTAGTCTGCAGATCATTGTTAACCTCGTCGAAGGATCGACGGAGGTTAGCGAACTCCTTGCGAGCCTCGTCGGTGATGAGAGCCTTGGCCATGCCGTCCCAATCGATCATAGACCTCGCGGCCTTCGCCGCCGTCTCCACCACCTTCTTCCCGCTCCCGCTCCCGCTCATTTTCCCTCTCTTTCTCGAGATCGAAAGATGGAATGAAGTTTAATCGAATTCTTTTTTTTTTTCGTAGTTAGGTTTTTTTTTTTCCTCCTACTAATTACCGAGAGGGATAAGGAGGATTGGGGGATTTTGGGTTGTAGGGTTGGCTGATGGAAGGAGTAGGGGTATAATGGGGTTTTGAGTGAAAGAATTTGGTGGTCCGGTAATGGGCCATTAGAACACAAAGTGGGCTTTTACGGGATACTTAAATCTGAGAGATGTTCAGTGGAGGCAGGAGTACGCACCGAGAATTGCTAATGCATGGTGTAGGGGAAAAGGAAGGGGAAAAAGAAAAAAAAAAAAAAAAAAAAAAAACTTAAAAGAAAATGAAGCGTATGGGAAAAACTAGTTTCAGCCCTGCAGATTTGTTTAATACTAGTTGGATTGCACGTGCAATACACATGGTAAAGTTTTCATTTTATGTTTTAAATTTATAATTTTATTTATAATGTTTTGTTATAAAAATATGGAATGTAAGTAATGGATAAAACATATAGACATAATCTAAACATTCAACATTTGAACAATTAAATTATATTGATTGATTGATTGGGAGGGGCAATGCAAATTTGTAAGATGGTTAAGGGCTCACATTAATTTATCATAATTGAATTTTCGTTGCAGAAAACAATACCGATTAGATTTACATTAAAAGGAACACATTTGACCGTTTGAGAGAAACTTATAAGAATGTAAAATAATTACAAGTTAAGAAGGCAAACAGCCGACATCTACCAACAATGAACTGTTTCCCTATGTATTTATGCAGTTTCTTTCACTGTGATGTAATCGTCCAAACATTATACATGCATTATGAGTCATGCTCTCAGTACAAATGTTTCACTCGATGACTCACTAAAGCTACTAAACTGAATGATTAATGTTACATTTGAGACGAGTAATACAACGTTAGAGGGTAGCCGTCGCTTTCTTTAAGAATGGGTTGTATTCAATATTATTTCGAAAGTCTGCTTTCCAGAAGATTGTCCAAAAGCCCAAGCATCTGGCCAAGCCAATTGAGACCTTGTTGCACCTTCATCATTATAATTTAAACAATACCGATTAGATTTATATATAAATGTTATTAGGTCATAAATAAAAAAGCACAAAAAATACATGCATTTAATGATGAAGAATTAATTCATTGAATAGTTTACTGCCTTAGTTTCATTGTTTCTATAGTAGAATGTATTTTATAAACCCCATAATTTGCTTAATCATGTGTCCATAATTGGCTAAAATGTCCAGAATCATACTCTATCACCCATTATTAGTTCTAAATGAGAGAATTCTACATTATGGCTCTTCGAAGTTAATGGGGGAAGCTCAAAAATGATTTCTAATTGTTTGCAATTTTTAGTTTTTTTGGTAGTAAATGAGAGTCTTCTACATCATGGCTCTTTGAAGTTAAGGGGGAAAACTAAAAAATAATTGCTAATTGTAGAAAGGGTGAAGAAGGTTTAGTGGCTGCCAATACAATTTAAGCCTTGCTTCTTCTTCTTATTCTTCTTCTTCTTTTTTTTATTTTTTTTTATTTTTTTCTTTATTTGGTTTTATTCTGTAAAGTATTATGATGGCTGATGTTCAGGTGATGCTTTTGTTCGAAGGCTTCAAAATTCCATGTCTAAATTAAGGGGGAACTATCAACTGTTATATCTTAGCTTGTGGTGAGTGACTATGATGATTTGTTCGCTCCCTATCTTGTTATAACTGTTATATAAACTTTTGTATATGGGACTTTTTAAGTTATGTTTGCATCCCTCTTGTAAATTTTTTATATTTTAATATAATTTCAAAGAATAGGTCACCTTGCCTTATTTTTCTCTAAAAAAGACGGGAAGATGAATAAATACATATTAAACACTATAGTTTTTATCTAACTTGGACTTGAAAATAAAAAAGACGGGAAGATGAATAAATACATATTAAACACTATAGTTTTTATCTAACTTGGACTTGAAAATAGTTTAGGCCATACAAGTACGTGAATAAATTTAAAACTTAATAGATCTCAACATTTCAGATAACCTTAGGCATATGAAATAAGAAAGGGAAAGGACAGACCTTACAGAAAAATATGAATGCAGTACCTTGATAGCAGCAACATCAGCTGCTGGAGGCTTCAAGTCCAATGCAATACCAAAGTAGAACATGTCCTTAGCAGGAATATTAAGGCTCTTGTGAATCTTACCCATCAACGTGTAGATGCTACTATCAAAATGTTAAAATGCAAGTGGTACTTGAACCCATCAAAATGTTAAAATGCAATTTGCTATGAGTATTCACATTTGAAAAACAATGGTGTCTTGTCACCGCAGACATTCATTTTATTCAAATCGTGCAATTTTCTGAACCTATAGCAAAAGTAGATTGTAGTTCCCAACTTGAGGTTGACATAACACACCTGAAGGTATTGATGATAAATTGCAAAAGGTGCATAATATGATAAAATTGGTAGCAAATCTTCAATTATACTCTCCACATCCATTTCTGGTGCAGCAACTATCAAGCTACAAGATGAAAAGGAAAAAAAATGCAACACTGTAACAATCAGTCAATAAAATCTTGTTTAAAGATATTTTATCCTAATTTTCTACCTAGTAAAGCCTTTATCTTTCCATGATTTTTTGTTATCTGATGATGCCTTCCTTCCTGCAGGTATTTTTTTTGCACTAAGGTAGTAGTGCTCTGATGTGTGTCATCAACTCCATCAGAAGAACATGGCAAAAAGAACATATTACAGGCATTATAATGCAGTTGTAAAGAAAATGGTGCTTGAAGAATCCTGCATCAATAAGCATCAGTACTTCAATAAGTAGACTGATGAAAATACATATCCTCGTTTGTGTATAATTTTCCTCTTCGATTGTTATGCGGTTAGAGCATGTAAAAGGGATGCTGGACTGTACCTGCGGCCTTCGATTGTTATGCGGTTAGAGCATGTAAAAGGGATGCTGGACTGTACCTGCGGCATACTTCATTACTAAAATTGAATATCCTCACTATATCAAGGGATAAGGGATGCTGGACTGTACCTGCGGCATACTTCATTACTAAAATTGAATATCCTCACTATATCAAGGGATGGTGGCTTTGTTCCAAAATAGTTACTGCACACATGACCTGGACCTACAAAGTAAAAGACATAGTCGACATAATTTTCCAGTAATATCTCAATATCAAAACATAGACCAAAAATTCTATGTTATGAAAGAATGAATTTTAATTTGTTAGCATATATAAGTGTAATACATTTTATAGGTTTGCGGATCAAAGCTATCACAGTAATTAAAGTACATAACAATTATGTATGACGGACATTGATCCGACACGGTCATCCGACATGCCGAAACAAGGCAAATCCTAAAAAATACATAGGATATGTTTGTTCGACACTTGTGTCCTACACGGACACGACACAACACGGGTTCATATTCTGTGTGTCCGTGCTTCATAGCATAACAGGTTTATTCATATATAGAAGCTCTTAAGCACTCAATGCTCTACATGAAGCCCATCTTCCAATGGTTAGGGAGGGCTGTAATTAGTATTTTTTTTATTAAGACAACATGTTGGACCAGTGAGGTTAACTTGAACACGGTTTTCTATTATGATGAGAAGTTTGAGGGAAGGAAATGCATGCTCACCAACTAAGCAACTTAATGATCTAATTAAACATTTCGATGACCACTGGCAACAACCTTTTTATAAATTTAGCTCTCATTTATTTTTTATTGCATAATTAGTACTTGCATATCAAAGAACTATATTGGATCCTTTGAAATATCATAGATAACATTGTTATTCTAACTATTTAGTCTTTTTCTTACAACCATCATAATGTAGTTTTACATATTAGCTCGTTGGTATATGAATGACATGATCTGAACAAAGATATTCAATAAGCCATTATCGGAAAAATCAATACAATTGTTTACAATTCAAAAATTGATGCTAGACATGATGAAGTTGAAACAAGTATGTATGTTAAAACACACTTACGCATGCACATATTCATACACCAGAACTTGAATGAGCATACGCAGACACATCCTACCTACTAAAGTAACTAAACTACATAAGTTTACATATGGCTAGCTCTTTAGAGTCTCCAAAGACGAATGAAGTTTGTTCGAACCTAACTTGCATGGAAACGTGTAGTGTTACATGTACCAGTAGGGGTACACGTAATACGCGTACACGCGCACACTATATATATATATTGTGAGGAACATGGTCCTTAGGAATACCCAATTCACCCAAAATAGGCATACTCAATTTCAACAACACACGCATACGGTCAAGGTGGCTAATATGATGAACAGGGTCCTTAGGCATACCTAAATCACCCAAAATAGGCTTAAGGCGTCAATATTCAATAGGAGCTCCGTGACGCTATATTGTGAGGCCTCTGATCTGCCTCCGCCAAGGTAGAAGCCGATACTGTTTTTTAAACAGCCTGATAGTATAAAACAAATGTCTTATTGTATACAGGAAAACTATAATGAAATAATGCAAGAGAATAGAAGTCATACTCATGGCTGCATAGTGTATGAGCATAAGCAAATCTCGAGTCTAGTTGCATTGCATGTAGAAAATTTTTCAGTGTAGTTTCATGATCTTTCAACAAACTATATCAATTTCCCATGGAAAGAAAAATAAAAAAGAGCACCATAGCTTGAATAATTAGTGATAACGTCTAAGGTTGAAGAATATGTATCCCAATAGAGGAAGTACGAGCCATCGAGATCAATATTCAACTGGTCGAGCATTGCCTTGAGTTTGGAGTTGAAGAATCGAGATCAATATTCAACTGGTCGAGCATTGCCTTGAGTTTGGAGTTGAAGACTGATGCCAAGTGGTTCGTTGACTCAACACATGACATGGTCGAGCATTGCCTTGAGTTTGGAGTTGAAGACTGATGCCAAGTGGTTCGTTGACTCAACACATGACAACGTATTCCCCGAGTTCCCTATCTGCTCCGGGATGCACCCAAGAGGTCCGAGGCCAGTGATTAAAAATTTCCTCCCTCTTAAATTATACAAATCCTGAAATAAACACAACTTATATTTTTTTTAA